AATTCCAGTGTAGGTGGGGTGGGAGCAGCTTGGTCAGACCTGGGCTTTGAACATGAGCAGAGGGGGATGGTAGGGGTCTGAGAGAGCCCAGAGAAAGCATCGGTGTACAGAGGCTGTGGCTACGGAAGGCCTGGGGGGGGGGGGGGGGGGGGGGGGGAGGGGGGGGGGGGGGGGGACTCGGTGAGTAAAGTGCTTGCTGCCACATGGGGCCCCGTCACCCACGTGAAAGCCAGGGCAGCGGTGCACACCTGTAGCCCCGGCACGCAGGATATGGAGTGGTGGCGGGGCAAGTCGATCCCGGGAGCTCCGCGACCAGCTAGACCATCTAAAGAGGAAGCTGGGTCGGGGAGAAGCCCCGTCTCTAAATGAATGGATAAATAAACGGGGTGGAGGCCAGATATGGTGGTGCTTGCCTTCAATCCCTGCACTTGACAGGCAGAGACAGAGACCCTCTATGAGTTCAAGGCCAGCCTGGTCTACGTAGTGAATCACCTGATACAGTGAGATACTGTCTAAGAAAAGAAAAGAAAAAAAGAAAGAGGTGGCTTGGAGCAGCCAGGGTAGCAGCAACCAAGCAGGGCTTTGGATGGACTGGACGAGAGAATGTTCTGGAAGTGAAGGCAGCAGGACCTACCAAGCAAGGCAGAACTGTTTGTTAGCAGAATCTGGGAGGCTCCAGATGAAACAGTTGTTGGTTTTGGTCACTTCCTGGCTTGGCTCTGGGTTGGGTAAGGGTAGAGGAAGCTGACAGTCAATAAAACTCCTGACTGCACTTAAACTGCAGGTTCTGATGCTGCTCTTTCAGTGTCCTGGGGTTCGGACCACCCCTCAGGCCACACAGTCCACATCTGTGCTCCCTCTGAGGCTGAAGACCCCAGCACAGAACTCCTTATTCTTTCGCTGACTCCCCAGGACCCCATTCTGTCTCCAGGCTTTGGCTGTCACCTGTGTGTCCAGCGCTCCTGTTACAGCTCAAGAATAAGAGCTCAGCCCTGAATTCTAGATGCAAGCAGCTGCCCACTCCCAGCTTTCCCCCCCCCCCCCCACTAGTGAGTCAGCTCAGACTTCACACATCTAAACTCTAACTCCTGATCCTCCCTGGGAGCTGGCCTCCCACCCGGAACCTTCTCAGCACCTCCACTCTCTGCTGAAGCCTTCAGGCACTCCTAGCCCCCTTCTCTTCCTACCCAAACCATATCCAAACCCACCTGTGGAATCGGCCATCTCTACCTGCCGTCCCAAAACAGAAAACATCAACAACAAAACCCACCAAATTCCAATCGATTCTCACCTCTCCCAATCCACCATTATCAATCACTTAGCTTCTCCCTGTCACTTTGTAACTCTGTACCCCTCGCCCCCCACTGTCTCCTCTTAACACACAGCAGCCAAAGCAATCTTGTTAAAACTTGCCTTCAAATCACCTCGATCTGCCTGAGCTAACCTCACAGTGGGGGGCCACCGCACCTCACAGAGGCTGAGCTGCAGCCCTTGCAATGGCCCTGCGTGTTCGGCCTCCACCATCTCCGCAGCCTCGGCTCAGTAGGCCAGCCCCCTTTAACACACTCCTCCAGCGCCAGCTCCCCACGTCTTCTCCCACTTTTGTTCCAGCCACACAGCTCTCTCCTATTTTGTGAGCTCGATGTCCCTCTACCTGACTGTCCCCCCACCCACCCAAGCGCCTTGCCCCAACAGGTGTCTGTTCAAACACGAAGTTATCAGCGAGGCCCTCTTTGATCATGCTGTTTGCGACGCCACCACCCTTCACACTCATTCCCTTCCCTGACTGTCTGAGAGCTGTCCTGTTAGTTGTAACCCCACCTGCCTGCCTCTAGAAGCTGAGCACACAACAATGGGGATTTTGAGGGTTTTATTTCCTGCTCTAACCCCTCTGCCCAGAATAGACTCAGGCATATAATAGGCACTCGGCAAATATTGATTGATTGATTGATTGAGTGAGTGAATGAATGAATGAATGAATGAATGAATGGCATTAGGATGTGACCTTCAGTCCTCGAGAGGCAGCCTGGACCTGGAAATGTTCTGGCTTTGACGCTGACTGCTGAGCCACAGGTTGTCCTGTGGCTCATCTGTAGAGAATGAAGCCCTAAGGTCCTCTGCACAGCAGCATTCTAGAATGCATGGTGCCTTGTAGAGGGCAGGATGGTGCACAGGACCAGTAGCTGTGGGAGGAGAGAGTGCTCATTCCTTCCAGCCAAGTTCTAAAAGCAAGTTTCTGATTCGGATTTGGCATGGCTCTGGGGACCCCAGGTGAGGGGATGAATGAGGTGTCTAGGCCTACCTGCTGAGTAAAGGCCTGGCCACTGACCTGGGCTCCTCCCTCTCAGGGCCTCAGGAGAGAATGTGAAAGACACAGTGTTTGAGGGGCACATGGAGGAGGATCAGGAGTTCAAGGCTAGGAGGCTACACAATGAGGCCGATGCTGGCCCAGGTTACACAAGAAAGTGGACAAGTGAAAAAGAAGAATCAAGAATCTGTTAAGGACAAAGAGAGCCTGGTAACTAACCCGGCCACACTCAACCCTTGGACAGCGCTGGATGGGTAAGTGAGCTTCCACACAGGCCTCTGCCATCCCACGGGGCCCTTGCTGTAGCTGACACAGGGACAGCGTGGCCTGCCTTTTGGCTGAGCACAGCCCAGGCCTCCTCCCTTTTCTGGGCCTTGCCGCAGCTCCCCGCTTGTTTTCCCCAAAATAAATGGCCAAGCATATTGGGCCGGCAAGAACCCCTTGAAATCAGTTGTTATCACAGTTAACAACCAGTTTGGCTTCAGTTCAGGCTGTTAACTATCAAACCACTAAGTGCGGTAATGATTGATTCTTGGCCAGTTGCAGCTTGAGTGGGCTGTAAAACCCCATTAGTGAGGGCGCTGTGGAGGCAGCAACCCAAAGATAAACAAATTGCTGGGTGCTCCAGGCTGGCTTCATCCTACTGCTCTGTGCTCAGCTCCCATGGGTCCCTGGCCTGGAGCCTACCAGAATCTGCTCCTTCCCTCAGGCAGCCTCAGCAGATTCCCACCCTCCTGCCCACCTCTCAAGCCTCTCCCCTGGAAGGCATCTCTTCCCTCTGGAGAAGGCTGGCCTGGCCCTCTGTCCTGCTCATGCTCACCTCTCTACCTAGAGGCAAACGTAGCCCATTCCCACCAGAGACTCGGAGACTCAGGTGCTCCCAGCCCAGAGGCGTGAGGCTTAGCTTTGGCCTAGCCACTGACCACCCTTGGCCCAGCCAGGCCTCACTTTGTAGCCAGGATCACAGGCAGAGAGCCTGACATTCCATCGCCCCCTAGACTCCCTCCCACCCTGTGGCTTTCCCCAGGAATTGCTCTCAAACAAATGAAATGTGGGTAATTACTGGGCTGGGGGCTGGACAGGCGACCGTGCAGATGAAAGCGCTTCCTGGACGCTCTCTTCATTTGCATGGCATCAGAAGCTGCTCAAGAGGTGTGACTTTTCCCACAGTGAGACCCCAGCTCCTCGCACAATAAAGCCAGGCTGCTCACCCAGAATTAATTAAAGGGGGAGGGGAGCAGAGGGCGAGGCACCAGGAGCTGGGGGGGGGGCTGGAAAGGAGCTAGCTGGAGCCCCTTCCCCACACCCCCATGTCCATGCACCTGAAGAAGGACACTCTGTCCAGAGGCCCTGGGACCAGGTAGACAGGGACTGAGAATCCCTACCCTCTGCTTCAGGCTTTCCACTGAGCCTTGGCAGTCATGACATACCTGGAGAGGCCAAGCCTGGGGCTTGGGCTAGAACTCTGGAATGCCCCCATGACTAGGAAGCCCTTGCCTGCCCCAAACCATGCCAACTGAAGTGTTTCCAAAAAGAGGCCTTCAGGGAAGGAGTTCCCAGATTGTCCTAGAAGCTGGGCTAGAGGAACAGCCGGGACGGAAGGTCTGAGTTGTGAAGAGTGGCCCAGCTCTGGGCACAGGAATCCTGCATTTGAGCCTCCTTTGGTATGGCATAGTACTCATCCCAAAAGCCCCCCTTCCACTCCTGCCTGTGCCTAGCTCTTCTTCCTGAAGCCAAGGACAACTGTGCCCCAGGCTTTTCAGTAGCACCTGAGCCTGCCACGTTCTATTCACAGCTCTGGCCTGGCTCTCCCAGCGTTAACTTAGCTCACGTCACGACTGCACACCAGTCTTGGCAGTGCCCCCTGCCCCCACACCTTGGACATTGGGCAGTTGCTCTTTTTCAGTTTTTGGAGTCAGATTCTATAGGCTATGACCAGTTCTATGGTCTCTGACCTGGTACTGAGGCAAAAGGGCACACAATCTGCCAACCACGGAGTACCCCTGCCTCTTCTTCATCCTGGCCCTGGAAGTGTTAGCAGAGAGAGCAAGGTGGTCCCCAAGGCTAGCTGTCAATCTTTCTGTCCCCCACCCGTCTTCCCCACAAAATCCCTCTAGTGGAGTGAAGGGGAAGTTGGCAAACAGGAGGTCCTTAGTTGGAGGGTAGCCTTGGACCTGCAGTTGGGACAAGACCGTGGGAAGGGGGATTCCTGGCAGGACAGGCTCTCCAACACACATTTCTAATATTCAGGTTAAATAAACATTTCAGTCATTTAATAGTAACTAGTACACAACCACCCTCACTGACACCCACCCCTAAGGGACCGACCTAGGCCTACTCTCCCCCCACCTCCCTGGCTGGCCTGGCCAGGTGCCCTGCCAGTGCTGGGACCTCAGGAGACCGGCTGCCAGACAAGAGAGCCCTCCCCCCAGGGGGCCCCACAGGAGCCCAGTCTCAGGTCACCAGTGGGCTTCCCCGAGAGGTAAGAAGACGGACACCACAGCCAGTGGAATACAAAAATAGAGCCTCTCTTTTGTTTAGAAAAAAAAACAAAGACAAAAAAAAAAAAAAAACCCAACAGCAAACAATATGCACAACCGGAAGGCGGCTCCCCAGCTCCTCCCTTTCGCGGTCCCGCCGATCCCTCGCTGGAGTCCGCGGCGGGGGGCGCAGGGAGGGGCCGGGCGGCCGCCTATCGGGGCTCCGGGGCCCAAGTCCTCTGGCTGCCGCGCAGGCTGCGCGTGAAGGGCGGGTAGTTGAGGAACTCGAAGCGCAGGCTCTGCTCGGTGGTGTGGTGGCCGCGCGGCAGCCGCTTCATGAAGTGCACCTCGCGCTGGTGCTGGCGAGTCTTGGAGCCCTTGCGGGGCCGGCCCTTGCGGGTGAAGGCCATGTACCAGCCCTCGTACTTGGCGTTCCGCAGCGCCGTGTAGTTGTTCTCCAGCACGATCTCCGTGAACACGCAGTCCTTGCCTTTGCCGTTGCTCTGCAGGTAGTGGGGGCGGGGGGGGCAGACCCGGTGTTACGGAGCCTCCCTCCGCGTGAGGCAGAGGGCCAGCGGCCCCAGACAGCAGGTGGGCACCCCAGCAGATGGTGAGGGGCGCCCGAGCCGGGCCCCACCCCCTGCCCGGGCACCCGCTCTCTAATCCCTCACAACCCGCAGCCCACCCGGCAACTTCCTGTCCTCCTGGGCAGCAGTGCCACATGGCTGTCTACGGAGGGGCTGGGCCCGAGGCAGAGGGGCCCAAAGCCTGCCTGTTCTGGCCTACTGCCCACCAGTCTGGCCTGGGTTGCCCGCGTTTCTCCACCTGCCCCCCTCAGCGTCTCTGGACTCAGGATCAGCCCCCAGGACAGCCACCTTATGCGGGGGAGGGGAAGCCTGGGAGGGACGCTGAGGCCCAAGCCCTGAAGCCTAGGAAGCAGGGAGCTTGAGGCTGGAGAGGAGCCGTGACTAATGGGGCCATTTCAGAGCTAGGCCGAGGGGCTGGGCCTGCGGCTTACTGAACATTCCAAATGCTGGTACCATGTAATTGGACATAATAGCAAAGCAATTTGGCGATTTGTTAAAAAGATATATGGAATTTGCCATCACCACCCCCAACCCCTTTCCTTGGCCTTCCTCCTTCATCTTCACAGGTTTTCCTCTCCCTGGTTGTTTCATTCTCTCTTACTCCTCCACCTAATGACGAGGCACCTCTAAGGTGACCAAGGTACCCATAGCTCTCCACCCATCTCGCTGAGATTAAAGTGTGCTAGAGAGCCAGTCCACACCGCTTTCTCCAGCCTCGCTTCCCTTCTGGAGCCTCTCACCTTGGCGATTAGCTTCCCCTTCTTGTTCATGCAGATGTAGAGGCCTGTCTCCGCTCCACGGACTCGAACTCTGCTTCCAAAAGTATCGGTCTCCACAATGAGCTTTGCTGTCGGGGAAGTTACAGGGCCGTCAGGAGGTCTGTGGCCTCTGTGTTCTACAGCTGTCCCCCATTTGGCTGGCCCAAGGACGCGTCCTGTCCCTGGAATGACTGTTCCAAGGGCTAGGAACCTAACAGCACAAGCTCCGGCCCCAGCCCACTTGCTGATGTGCTGAGTCGCCCTAAGAAGGATGGACTCTCTCTTCAAGACTTGAAAGTCCATCTCTGGGCTTACAAAGGGGCCAGAATAGATCACAGTTTACAAGCTAAGTTTCCTAGAAATGTTTGGGTGCAGCAAAGTGAGAAGCCCAAATCTCCTATCCTTTTAGCCTTCTTTTAATGCTAGAAGCCTTTTTATTTGAGGGGAGGGAGGATCAAGGTGCCAAGTAAAAATTCACTATGTAGATTCCATAGCTACTTGAGAGATCTCTGAATATTCTTCCAACTTAGAATATCACGAGCTCATTAAGAACACCTGGGAACAGTGACCTCCCATCATGGTCAAAGGTAAAAATATCCTGTTCCGTTCCTGCCCCTTCAGTTCAAATTAGCAGCCCTGGCCATCCTTCAACGCTGGGGAAGGGGCTGGAGAGATGGCTCAGCCCAGCTCTTGAACTCTTGTAGAAGACCAGAGTTCAGTTCTCAGGACCCACACAGGGCGGCCCACAACTGCCAGTTACCCCAACTCCAGGGAGCCAGCACCCCCTTCTGACCTCCGCGGGCACCTGCACGCTCTCACACACACACCACATACACATAATTTAAAGTAAGGTGAATCGTAGAGGAGGAGGAGGGTGTTTCTCACTACACTGACTTACACACTGCTTTCTGGAACCGGACACTGATCTTGCCCCTTCCCCTCAGCTCAACATGCAGACATCGACAGCTCAATTGTCTCTTCTCTCTTACCCTCCGTTGCAGCAGGGCTTCTTAGGCACTGGCCAAAGGCTTCCAGGTGAAATAAGCCTGGGCCGAATTCTGTGCCCTTCTCTCCTTCCTGTTCACATAGAGAGCTAGCTTGCCCAGAAGCTGGTCCTGACCACCTCTTTATGTGACTGCTCTCTCAGAAGCTGTTTCCAAGAAGGTGTGTGTGGGGGGGGGGGGTGAATTAGATGATGGACAGAAGAGACCAAATCTCCTGCGTACTCTACTAGAGAACTCAGCCCTTCTCCTCCTTGAGAAAGCAAGTCTGTCTTGACATGTGGCTTTTCTCTAAAACTAATTCCAGGGTTAGGGGGCACAGGGATTGCCAGTAAAACCTTCATGTTTGCCTAGTTTCTGACAGCCCCCTTCTTCACATAGACACAGAAGACCAGAAGCTGAAGGCCCCAGTGGGTCCCCAAGTCAGCTGGGAAATACAACTGTTTACCTCTTCCTGCTCACCTCTCCTTAGACCCAGGCAATCAGTTCAGTCCTCTCCTGCCTGCTTTATACGGCAAGAAGCAGTTGCTTTATGGCCCGGGGAGGGTGCTGGCTAGAGAAGGGGTGAGAGGACCCTGCTCTGAAGATTCTAGCCCAATGTCATAGAACAGAATGGGCATCTCTTCCCCTTCTTGGGTCCTAATAGAGCGTTGGGACCTCTCCATTGCTCTTTCCAGGCTCTGCACCTTACCCCTCTTTGACGGCCTTTTGGAGCCCCAGGCCCAAACTTCTGCCCTACAGCCAGAGGCCACGGAACCCTGGAAGCCTTCTCTGCCTCCAAAAGAAGTGAGTGGGCACCTTGTAATGCCTGAAGACCACTTACATCACCGCCAGCTTGGTTTCTCCTTCCCACCCCAAAACCCAAGGACGCTAGGCCATTTGCTCCGTAGAGTAAACTCTGGAGGAGCCAGGCATTCTTTCCTTTTTCTTGTTGGGAAGCTGAGAAGGGCAGCAAGCAGCCAATTTGGAGGGACAAAGGGCCTGAAGGCCGGCTCTGCCAGCCCAGCGGGGGAGCTCGGCCACCAGGCAGGCTGCCCCCCCCCCCCCCCCAAGAGCCCCCACCCTCCTCAGGATCGATCTAGGGAGCCTGGCCCTGCCGCTTACAGCGGCTTTCCCAACCAGGCTTTTGGAAAGCTTAACATTTTCAAACCTATTCTTCCACCCCAGTGACAGATTTATCCCAGGAAAATTATGTCTCCTCCTCTAGCTTTGAAGGGAAGTCGACGCTGAAAAAATGCAGCAAGACATACTCGATCCCCCAAACTGGCTGGAGAAGAGGAGAAAGTATTCAGGAAATGTTAAAAAAGGTGAAAGTAAGAAGAGTTTTAATCGCTCTGCCAGACGCGGGGGTCTCTCCAGAGATTCCTAGAGAACAATCTTGAACCTCTTTTTTTAACATTTACAGACTTGCAACTCCCTTCAAACGCTACATCTGAAAAAAAGGGGGGGGGCTGGTTCTTTTTCTGTTTTATATCATTCTTCATTTCTCTTCTTAGCTCTTAAAATGCCTCACCTTTTTATTACATTTTAATAGCGTCTTCCTTTCTGCTTCCATGCTTGTTTAAGTTGGTCATTATTTAAAGGTTTTTAAATTCACAATAATCGCTCTCTCAAAACCACCCCCAGCCGCCCAAAGGGTCCGCCTTCCTTGTGGTACATCTAGGATCTGGAAATTGGCTCCACTTCAAGACAGGAGTATTGAATGTTTTAGAAATTAATCAGTCCTCAGCCCAGTAGCTCCCTGTACTCAGCAACCCTCCAGGGCGCCACCAGCTAACTCCGGCCCCTGGAGCAGCCGCCTTGGGGCCAGAGTCTACCTTCCGGGCCCGCTTCCCTGTGCGACCGACCCTTCCGATCAGTCAGCAGTATCCCCCTTTTCCAAGCATCTGGGGGGGGGTTGCTCTAACTTCTTTTCCCCTCTCTCCTTTTGTGGGCTCTGGCCACATATCCTCTTTCAAGAACTTCCCTCAGATCTGACCCCCGCCCCTCCCCCCCGCCTCCACCTGCAGCTGGGAAGACGCGTCTGAGGGGAAGGGGGCTGCAAGAGAGCCTCCTGGAGGAGAGGGCACCTGTGGGCCGCGTCCTCCCCAGGGGCCCTTCCCCGCCAGCCTCTCCAGCCGAGCCTCCAGAGCCTCCAGGCGGGGCACCTCTTCTCCTCTCACTCCTGCCCGTCTGCCTCGCCCGGCTGGGGAGCCCGCAGGCCTCCCGGGCCGGCTCCCCGGGGCGGCGGGGGGCGCGCCTTACCGAAGGGGTCCCCGTCCTCTGCCATGGCGTTGATGCGCTTGTTGGCCAGGACCTGCACGTGCTTCCCGCTGGTGCGGCTGTAGAGCTGGTAGGTCCGGATGAGGCGGCGGCTGAGCTGATCCGTCACCAGGCTCTGCTCCCTCACATGCTGTGTAAAATTAGGTGAGGACTGAACAGTTACCTTTAGGAAATTGAAAAATACACAGCACGCCATTATAACGCTACTCCGCCCAGGGGCCCGGCTGGCCCCCCGCTGCCCTCGGACCCCGCTCCCGCCGCGCCGGCCCGGGCCCGCTGCCCCCGGGAGGAGGGCGGATCTGGACCCACCTGTTGGGGAGCACCCACCTGTTGGGGAGCACCCTGAGGCTCGCGGGCAGCTCGGAGCAGGGCAGCGGGCCCCCCGCCCGGGCCTTCCTAGGGGAGCAGGGCGCTTTTAAGCGGCGAGGCGACGCCCCCGGCCCGTGACATTTATAAAGACGGATCCACGGAGCGAGCGGTGAGCGCGCAAGGGCCCCGAGCTCCCGCGAGCGTTGCCCGGCCCGGCCAGGCCGCGGGGCTCCCCGGGGGGCGGCGCAGAGTGGCCTCCCCGAGCGGGGACCCCGCTGCCCCAGCGCCCGCCTGCCCCGGCGGCCAGGTGCGGCGGCAGGTAGCGTCCCCATCCTCCCGCGCCGGCGAGCGCGCCTGCGCCTCGCTGGGCTCGGCCCCCCGGGTCTAGCCTGTCCACTCACTCGCTGTGTGACTTTGGGCAGCACACTGTCTCTCTGTTCCCGAGACCCCTCCTCGGGGTAGTTTGGGGCTGGCTTTGTAAGGTTCTCCGCAGCCCTGCCGCGCTGGCCGAAGGCTCGGTCCTGGTGTCCCTGCCCGGCACTGTCAGCCGGGTCCCCCGCGCCCGGCCCCCGCCTCTGCGCAGCGCTCCTTACCTGGGCCTGGAGGCAGAGAAGCAGCAAGTGCAACAGCCTGCGGGAGACAAAAGCGGGCGGAGGGCGCGGGGTGAGCGGGGCGCGGCGGGCCGGGGGCCGGGGGCGCGGGCCGGGGGCCGGGGGCGCGCGGTACTCACAGGCAGCTCAGCGCCGAGCGGGGGCTGCCCATGGCGCGCGGCCCGGGAGCACCGGGGGCCCGCGGGAGGCGGCGGGAGGCCGGCCGGAGGGCGGACGGAGGCCGGGAGGGTCGGGGCGCGCGGC